TTCAGCAGAATCTTGCTTATATGTGATATCAATATTATTGTTCAATAATTTCCACACTCTGTTGGGTCACCTTTCTTTGGAATGGGAACAAATATCGATCTTTTCCAGTCAGTTGGCCAGCTGGCTGTACTCCAGATTTCCTGGCACAACTTAGTGAGCCCATCTAGGGCAGCGTCTGTTTGTTGAAATAAATCAATTGGTATGCCGTCAACTCCTGGAGCCTTGGTTTTTGCTAATTGCTTCAGAGCAACTTGAACTTCCTCCTTCATCACCATAGGCTCTTGCTCATATTATTTCATGAAATTCCTCTGTGTCAGCCAATTCCTTCTGATACAGTGACTCTGTGTACTCCTTCCATCTTCTTTTGATACTTCCTGGATCATTCAACATTCTACCCAAACTATCTTTAAGTATTGCCACCTGTGGCTTGAATTGTTTTTCAACTCCTTCAGCTTAAGAAACCGTGAGTGAGTCCAGCCCTTTTGATTTTCTGACTCCAGCTCTCTGCACATTTCATTATAGTATCTTGCTTTGTCATCCTGAGCTGCCTTTAGAAATTTTCTATTCAGCTCTTTGATTTCTTCCTTTAGCTTTGGCTTCTCAGCAATCTAATGCAATACTCAGAGTCTCATCTGACAGCCATCTTGGTCTTTCCTTCTTTTTCAGCCTTTGTTATGATCTTATGCATTCTTCGTGGATGATTTTCTTGATACTCTCCCAGAGTTTGTTTGGCCTATGCTCATTGGTGCTCAAGGCCTCAAACCTGTTCCTGAGATGGTTTTGAAATTCGAGTGGGACAGACTTAAGGTCAAATCTTGGTTCCTGTGGACTTGATTTAATTTTCCTCAACTTCAGCTTGAACTTGCATATGAGTAGATGGTGGTCTGTCCCACAATCAGCACACAGCCTGGTTTTCACTTTTGGTATTGAGCTTCTCCACCGAGTCTTTCCACAAATGTAATCTATTTGATTCCTATGCATACCATCAGGTGAGATCCATGTATGTAGCCTGCGTTTATGTTTTTTATAAAGGATATTTGCAATGAATAAATCATTGAATGCACAGAACTCTTATTATTCTGTCTCCGGCCTCATTTCTCTCACCGAGCCCATGTTTTACAGCTACTGATCCTTCTTCCCTCTTCCCAACTTTTACGTTCCAGTCACCCATTGTTATTAATGCATCTTGATTGTATGTTTGTTCAATTTCTGACTGCTGAGATCTTAGAAATGGAAATTCAGATAAAGAGAAAGAGCTATAAGGAGACACTAGTGATTGGAACGTGGAATGTGAGAAGCACGAATGTAGGAAAATTGGACATTGTTAAGAAAGAAATGCAACACATAAATATTGACATACTAGGTATTGGCAAAATGACATGGCTTGGCATGGGACATTTTGAATCAGATGATTATATGATTTACTATGCCGGGGATGAAAAGGTGAGAAAAAAAATGGGGTTGGTTTCATAATTAAAAAAGTCATTTCTAGATCTATCCTGAAATACAATATGGTGAGTGACAGGATAATATCCATACGCATACAAGGAAGTCCAGTGAATACCACTATCATTCAAATATATGCACCAACAACCAGAGCCAAAGAGGAGGAAATAGAAGATTTCTACTGACTTTTGCAGTCAGAAATTGATCAAATATGCAATCAAGATGCAATAAATAATAATAATAATAATAATAAAATATTTTCTTCTTTTTACTACTGCCATCGTTAATACGACTTCTCTCTATGCTGTTTTCAAGAAAAAGTTCTTTGCAGTTAAATGTTATTTAATAAAGAAGGAAGAAAATAAAATTAGAAAGAAAAAATTGTTCCCTCCACAAATCCTTGGGATTTGCAGTAAAATAGAAATGTTCATTCACGCATCTGCAGGATAAAACATATGCAGAGCTCTTAGCTTCTCAGACTCATTTATCTAATTTTTGGTGGAAAGGTGTATTCATAAATACAATGACTCCTCCTCTGGTCTCTCCTAGCCTGCCACAGCCAGGGTCTGATGGAGTGCAGGAATGGCCAGTGCATCCCCAGCACCTTCCAGTGTGATGGAGACCAGGACTGCAGGGACGGGAGTGATGAAGAGAACTGCAGTAAGTGGGGCTGCCAGTCCCGTGGGGCCTCATTGGAGGCGGGCTTGTCTCCAAGAGCAAGGCGAAGAGTAAGAAGTAACCTAAGGCTTAAAGAGGACCATGCACAAATTATTCTGGATTGCTGAACTGAACAACACGGTTCTTTTAAGGAAACATTATTTGAGTGGAAAGTCTACAATGCAGATAGTTTCTTCATTCTGCTGTTCATGCACCTTTTGTTTAATAACATTACTCACAATTCAACAATGCAATTGCACTTTCCCACTTCCTCCCTGTAGTTCTGGTCTCCATTAATCCTTCATTCCTCCCCCTTTCCTCCTTTTCTGCCTTTATCTTTGGACAGGTGTTGATCTTTTGTCCTCACATGATAGGTTATTCTAAGGTGTGATGCCTCCGTGGAATTAGAGTGTTACTGTTCACCTTGTTGTTACTGCTGATAGGTGCTATCGAGTCAATGATGCTCATAGTGACCCGGTGAACTACAGATCTGAACCCTACCCTCTCCTGTGCCATCCGCATGGTCTCTGCCATGCCCCATCCCATCGTGGGAATCACTGTGTCGGATCGTCTTGGGGACGGTCTTCCTCTCTCTCTGACTCTCCACTTTCCCCAGCATGTGGTCTCTCTCCAAGGACTGGTTCCTCCTCATGACATGCCCAGAGCAAGTGAGAGCAAGTTTTGCCATCCCCTCTCCAAGGCCTGCCTGTTGTTTGATTGGGAGTATGAGCCACAGGAGTGAAGTTTAAACGGTGATGAAGGGCCGTGATCTCTAGTTCTTACAGCATTGCTTAGTGAGAAACACTTTTTGTACAACAAATGTAGTTCCCAAGCAATCTGTACTGAAAAAAAAACATCCCAAGTGCAAAAGATGTCGTTTGTAGGAATGCTGTGAGACATAGCCAACTCCACGGCACCTAACAACAATTACAGTATGAAAGAGTATTTAAACAGCATGGTCAAATACAGTGAGCTGTTTTATGAAGGACAGTAATACTGTAAAGAGAAAAGCTTAGCACATGGTATTCATTAAGATTAGTTTCCAATTAGAAGGAGCTGGTGGTTGAAATTAACTGTTACAGATTTCTAAAATAACCATATTACGAAGCAGTATACTTAAATATATACAAGAATCTACCCACACACACACCATTAGGGAGTTAATTAGCAAAGTTAACAGGTTACAATTCAGTTTGGAAACAGGATGCAGTTCTTCCATCAGGACAGCTTGTCAAGCATGCTGGCAGGTGCTTTGCCTTGGATCTGTGAGGCTTGGGGTCAGTGTTACAAAGCTCTTCTAGTCTTACTGACTGTGGCTTGAACAAAGGCTCACATCCCTAGCTCCCAAATCAGCTCTGTCTCACTTCAGTCTCTGGTTCTCCACTGCTGCTGCTGCTGCTGAGATGGTCCTCTGTGCCTTGAAACACCTTAGAAGAAAGGTCTGGCAATCCATTTGTTACAAAAAATTAAAATAAAAATAAAGAAATCATCCCTGAAAACTCTACAGAGCACAGTAGTACTCTGACATACGTGGGGTCACCATGGGTGAACATCAGCTTCACAGCAGCTGGTTACAGGCAAAGTTTGCATTTGCTAACAGTAAAAAAAAAAAAGTGACATTTCCCCCCTCCCTTATTTTTTTGCAACTGTTCAAGTTTCTATATATTTATGCTCATTAGTGATACTGGAAAGGAAAAAGTTTACAAGAGAATTGACATTGTCTCAGGATCTATAAAGAAGAATGACTATATATATATGTACACACACATATACATATACATATACATATACATATACATATACATATACATATACATATACACAGACGCATATTTTTTTTGTACTTGAAAATAACTTAAAAAGTCTCCTAGATTACAAATGACATGCTTGAAAGTAATTGACTGTAATGAGGAGAGCTGGAGAAATAATGGACTGTAATTTATTACCTTATCCATTTAATCTACAAATGACCAGGAAATCAATGGCAAAAGCAGTTCCCTCTCCACAGACCATAAGGAAAAGTCATTAGAGTAAAGGTTGATGTTACTGCTGTCATTCACTTGGAAACAAGAAACAATTCTCAGGTCATCACAGATTGGTCAATGAATACTTCTCAAGAACATGAAAATGATATTGATACAATGATAAACTATGCTTTTTAAATTTGGGTTAATACCTATTTATTAGAAAGCATTTTCTTTAAAGATGAGAATTGAAAGCAAATGAGGCTTTAAAACAATGTCCCCTAATAATTCAGAATTTTAAGTCTTTTTTTTCCCTCCTTTCTCAAATCTCTACATTTTATGTTTAAATTTATTTATGTCCCCATGTAAAAATGAAACAACTTGCTTTGTTACTATGTATCCTAGTTGTTCAGGAGTCAGCTGGCTCAGGGAAATTCATGGTTTGTATTTCTTCATCCTTACAGAATCCTCTTGGAGTAACTATTGCATGTAGCTGCAGGGGGAGAAGGGGGGATAATCCAGAAGGTACCTATTCAACATGTGTTCAATATTTTGGGAGAAGCTGGAAGGAAATGAAAGTTGTGTCATGCCTTGGCTCCACCAGACATTCTGAATCTTTCAGATCCTAGTTTCAGGAATTTACAAATGATGAAAGTAAATGTGCCTCTTTCCCCCGGTAGGTCAGACCTCATGTCAAGAAGGAGACCAAAGATGCTTCTACAACTCCTGCCTTGATTCATGTGGTGGCAGCTTGCCCTGTGACCCCAGCAGCAGCCCCAGTAACTGTAGTAAGTACCACAGCTGACGAGTGCTATCATTGCATCAGGATGCGCCTTGAGCTTTAGTCTTCCTGCACACTGTAAAGTGCTGAAGTTTGGAATCTCTCCCAAAAAAAGTCTACTTATTTTCCTGTTCTTCTCTAACAGTTTGCATGTGGTAGCAGAAAAGCAACAGAATGGTCTTCATTAACTTAATCAGAAACAAATGTGTCACTGAGCATGGGCTATAAATTCACATTGCTTAATATCATTAGCATTCCTTTCAACTCAACATCGGCTCCTATTTATTATTTTCTTGGCTCTGTCTCCAAGCAGATGCTATCTCCCTTTCTTCTTATAGCATTGGAAACATTCAAACAGCAAATAGCAAGTTCTTCCAAAGAGCCACACAGAACTCTGATGGTGTGTCCTTTTAGTAAAATGTTGCCTTTCCAGGAACTTTGCTGACTTCTGATGATCTTGGAGAGAATAGTAATCCATTTCAGTGATAGTGTAGCAGCTCAAAATGGTGTTAGCAAGTGGCTCACTCTAAATCAGCTTGGAGGAGGATGATCTTGGGTGGAATCTAGAGAGAAGAGTGGTGAAGTGCTGAATAGCCTCTCAAGGGGAATTTGAAATATACCAGAAACCCCCAGAGATGCTGATGTGTAGTGATGATGGGTTCTCATTTTATATTCTACTCAGTTCTGTTACTTTACAGATTTTTCCCCCTTTATATCTTCAACTCATGCTTAGAAATTTAGAACTAGGTTAATCAGCTTTCAGTTGGCAAGCAAGCACCACTTTGTAATACCTGTGTTCTGTAATGTCCATGGAAACTGGGAGGTTAACAGGCACAAGTCTTTGCTGCTTTGAATCGAGTCCTAGCTTTGCTCTATGACCTTGTGCAGAGCTTGTATGGAGGGCACCTATCAAGGTTAGAGTCTCAAGGATGCAGAGAGAGGGTTAGAGAGGGGTTTGTGGGAGATAGCCAGTGGCAAATCCAGACAGATATGTCTTTTTGTTGTTTTTCATGAACTGTTGTTAGAGAATGTGCCATGTGCCATGGAGTCAAATAGAACTCATCAGTTCTTGCTCAGGGTCTTTCTGTCTTTCACCAACCCTCCCCCTTTCCCAGCATGATATCTTTTTTCTAAAGTCTAGTCCTTCTGGGCAGTATGGCCCAAATGTATGAGATGGAATTTCACCATCCTTGTCAGTAAGGAGCACCCCGGTTGCACTTCCTACCAGTTGACTGTCCTTTCCGCCGCCCGTGGGATACTCAGGACTTTCTCCAACAACATAGTCATAAGCATCCATTTTCTCTTTTCCTTATTTATTGTGCAACTTTAAGATGCATAGGAAGAAAATGAAAATACCTTGGATCAGGAGCACTTGAGTCTTTAAATGGACATAATTGCTCATCATTTATCTATTTAGCTGAAAAAAATTGTTATATATATACACCCCCCCCATGTTTATCACGGCTTTGTTCACAATAGCAAAGAGTTAGAAACAACCCAAGTGCCCATCAACAAATGAATGGATAGAGAAGCTGTGGCATATCCACACAATAGAAAACTTACTATGCTGCATTGGAAAACAAGGAGCTCAGGAAATATTATTCAAAATCAGTCACCCTGGAAGACATTATGCTGAGTGAAATATCTCAGTCACAAAGGGACAAATACTGCATAGTGCCACTGTTATAAAGGAGGACTGACATCAGAGTTGGAGGGAAACTAAGAGGGGATAAATAATATATACTGCATTGAAACAAGTAAGGGAGAGAACTGGTTAGGAGGAATATATGGTTAGGTACTATTGTTATGACAAGAATCCAGAATAAAAGTTGCATAGAGGAGAGGACTGGGGTGGGGGTTGTATAGCAATGAAATAATTTTTTTTTCATTTTTCAGAGAAAAAAGCAAACCAGGTGGGGGAGGGATGGGCAGGGAGCAAAGTGTGTAACAACGAATGAGTGGAAATCCAAAGTCTCTGTAAACATTCATGAAAATAAATTTTAAAAAACCCAATATATTATATGCCATTTAATTTGTTTAGAAATATATTTATGAAGGTATACTCATAAATATAATGCAGATACACGTGCATTTGTTATAGTGTTATTGTGTAGATTATATCTAAAATATATGTTTATTATATGTTAATATAATATAACCATATATAATATAAATAACATTTGAGCAAGAGCCTAGGGTGATGAAGGAAGAAGTTCAAGCTGCTTTGAAGGAAATAGGAAAAAATAAGGCCCAAGGAATAGATGGTATACCAATTGACATATTTCAGCTAACAGATGCTGCCCTGGATGTGCTCACAAAGCTGTGCCAAGAACTCTGAAGAACAACTGCTTAGCCAACTGACTGGAAGAGATCTATGTTTGTTCCCATTCCAAAGAAGGGTGACCCAACTGAGTGTGGAAACTGCAGAACAATCGCACTGATATCACATGCAAGCAAGATTCTACTGAAGACTATCCAAAAACGACTGGAACAGTACATCAGCAGAGAACTGCCAGAAGTCCAGGCTGAGTTTAGAAGGGGTCGTGGTACTAGGGATATTGTAGCCGATGTTAGATGGATCTTAGCTGAAAGCAGAGAGTACCAGAAGAATGTCTATCTGTGTTTCATTGATTATGCAAAGGCACTTGACTGCGTGGATCATAACAAACTGTGGGTGACTCTGAGAAGAATGGGAATCCCAGAACATTTAATCGTGCTAATGTGAAACCTATACTTGGACCAAGAGGCAGTAGTCAGAACAGAGCAGGGCAACACTGAATGGTTCAAAATTGGGAAGGGTGTGCGCCAGGGATGTGTCCTGTCTCCATACATTTTCAACCTGTATGCAGAGCAGATTATCCGAGAGGCTGGGCTCTATGAGGAGACATGCGGCATTAGGATTGGTGGACGATTTATCAACGATCTGCGTTATGCAGATGACACAACCTTGCTTGCTGAAACTGAGGAGGACCTCATGCACTTACTGCAGAGGATCAAGGGATGCAGCCTTTAGTATGGACTGAGGCTCAATGTCAAGAAGACAAAGATTCTCACCACTGGACCAATTGGTAGCATCAGGATGGATGGCAAAGAGATTGAGATTGTTCACAGCTTCAGTTTGCTCAGCTCCACGGTCAACACTCTTGGTACCAGCAGCCAGGAAATAAAAAAACATATTGCAATGGGAAAGTCTGCTGTTAGGGACCTCTCTAAAGTACTCAAGAGCAATGGTGTCTCTTTGGAGACAAAGGTGCGCCTGATACAGGCCATGGTCTTTGCAATCACCTGTTATGCATCAGAGAGCTGGACCATGACTAGGGAGGACAGGAGAATTGACGCCTTTGAGCTGTGGTGCTGGAGAAGAGTATTGAATGTACCATGGACTGTCAAGAAAACACAGAATCATCCTAGAGAGGGTTAAACCAGGCTACTCCTTGGAGGCAAAGATTCTGGGGCTTCATCTGACATACTTTGGACATGTTGCAAGGAGAGACAGGTCTTTGGAGAGGGACATCATGCTGGGTAGAGTAGAGGGACAGCACAGGAGGGGAAGACCCTCTATGAGGTGGATTGATTCAGTGACTGGGGTAATCAGGATGGGTGTGTCAGATTGGCACAGTATAGAGCAGGGTTTAGGGCTGTTGTACATAGGGTCGCTATGAGTCACAAATGACTCGACGGCACATAACAACAACCACAACAACATATGTTACTAATATAAAGATATGTGTTGTATATTTATTATTATTAATACACATGTGTAGTTTTATATATAAGTAGGTATACTTGTTGCAGTGTTGATGTTAGCCAGTGAGTTGGCTATGATTCATAGACACCCTATGAACAGCAGATTTGAACCTTGCCCTATCCTGCAATATCATTAGTGAGAGAAATGACTGCCTCTGAAAACCCACTGGAGGGTCAACTATGGATCAGTTCCAATTCTGTGGTACACAGTAATATATATAGATTGATAGCCATCAACTCATATCATAACATCATTGAGTTTCTGAGGCTGGAAATCACAAAAGAGGAGACAGCTCATCTTTCTCCCTTGGAGTCTGTGGCCAATGCAACTCCTAGGAATTTCTCTCTGTGTCTCAGTCTCTTTCTCTCTATGACAGAAATACAAGGAAGAGGAGAAAGAGAACATCAATGCACAGTGGCTGCGTGTGACAGGGTAGGATGGGAGAACTGGCCCATAGGATTTGTGCTGTAATCCTTACAGGAGCAGATTGCCAGGTCCTTCTTTTTGGTTAGCAGGCAAGTACTTAACCATTGTGCCACCAGGAATCTCTCTTTCTTTACTTGTGTATGTATTTATATCCCATGTGTGATGGGAAAGTCTGCAGTTAGAGTCCTCCCTCAAGTACTGAAGAGCAACGATGTCAGTCTGGAGACTAAGGTGTGTCTGATACATGCCATGGTCTTTACAATCGCTTGCTATGCATCAGAGAGCTGGACAATGACTAGGAGGTATAGAAGGAGAATTGATGCCTTTGAGATCTGGTGTTGGAGAAGAGTTTTGAATATACCATGGACTGCCAAGAAAACAAACAGGTTCAACCCGGAAAGAGTTAAACCAGGCTGCTCCTTGGAGGCAAAGATTCTGAGACTTCGTCTGACATACTTTAGACATGTTGTAAGGAGGGACAGGTCCTTGGAGAGGGACATCATCTTTGGGAGGGTTGAGGGACAGCACAGGAGAGGAAGACCCTAGATGAGATGCATTGATTCAGTGACTGGGGTAATGGAGTAGGTGTGTCAGGGTTGATGAGATTGGCACAGGATAGGGCAGAGTTTAGGGCTGTTGTACATAAAGTCACTATGAGTCGCAGGCAACTCGATAGCACATAACAACAACAACAGCGACATCTGAATACTGTGTCTTCCATAGATGTCAAAAAGCAGCATTATTTTCTTTCGTGTAAATGCCCATCATTTCTTAAGTGAGCTCCAGGGACTTCACTGCAGAAATGCAACATCATTTGCTACAGCATCATTCCC